CGGGGGCCGCCGGCGGCAGGGGGAGAACTGCTGGCTTCTGGGGTGCCAGGGAGCGCACCTGGGAGACCAAACATGTGTCGTGATGGAAGACGGTGCTGGAAACTGTGAAAATCCGAGAGGAGGATTTGCATCCCTGGTTTTTGCTGTCCCTCCTGTGCCACACTGTGGCCCAATGGACATATCTGGGAGATGGTGGGAAGTGGCAGCGTTCATATTCCCAGCGCCCCGTGGGAGAACGGTAACTGCCCAAATTTCTGGCCTTAGCCCAGCGGGGATTGCCGTTAATGAGCCTGAAGGTGTCACGCTCCGCAAGGACAGCGCTCTGTCTGGGAAGCTGGGAGCGACACCACCCACCCTGCCTGTCGGTGGGTGTCACTAAGATCCTCAGCAGTAGGGTCGGTCTGATCGACTGATCGCCTGTAGTTGTTTTAACGGGGGTCTGCACCTCCCTGGGAAGGGAATGGCAGCGAACCCCTCCCTGCCACGTCCCCTGGGTGTCATCATCTCACTGACGCCGGACAGGAGGGAGGTCAGTGGGAGTGTGCTGCTCTGGAGGGGCAACACCTTTTGAGAGGAGGCCGGGCTCCGGCAGTTCCCATCACCCACCGTTTTATAACACCCCCTCCTCATGTGTCAGGATGCACCAGGACGTCCCCCACAGGAAGTGCAGGTTTCCATCCCTTCCTGTGTCGCAGGAGAGAAGAGTCACCAACAAGCGCAGCCTGGGGGTCCGGGTGCACAGCCGGGTTGGGATCCCGGGCGGCTGACGGGCGCCCGTATGCCGTTACCCCAAGGCAGAGCAGCACAGTCCGGCATGGCCGTGGCGTCCCACGCGGCAGGTATGAGGGGCCGGGGGCACAGAGAGCTTAGGCAGCCACCTGCTAGTGCAGGGATGTCAAAACGTCACCTTTGCCTGTCCCCTTCCGGATCCGGTGTGAAAATTCCCTCATCCCCAACGGATCCAACCTGCACACACCTCCTGCTGCTTGATGGTGAATTTTTTTCTTGGATGGGGATAGCAAACGCGGGACTAACCTGGCTTGTATGGTGTGTTTCCGTCTGTCAGGGCGTGGGCGGACAAGCATTCACGCTCAGAATTCCTGGCGAAGGAGAAGGGACGTGTTGCTGGGGGTTAGGCAGTCACCTAGCGTTGTGCGTCTGTGCTGTGGGCCAAAGGCAGCGCGTGCGTCCCCGTGCCTGTCGGTGGGTCGTGCTCTCTCTGCCTGATACGAAGAGCCCGCGGCGTGGAGGCACTTCCCGCGACGGTGCGAGGAAAGGCTGATCCTCTTCCCACCAGTGGCGGTGGAAGCAAGCGCTGACCTTGACTCCGTCGTGGAGGGGGAGTTTCTCCCTTTTCTGTCACACCTTCCAGGGGGCTCCAAGCCGAACCGTTCCCGTTAATGACATCAGGTTGTTGCAGCAGGCGTTTCCTTACACTAAACGTGACTCCTCTCTCTCTCTCTCTTTCAGACTTAACCAACACAATGACTGCTGAACATTAAGGGAAAACACAAGAAGGTTACATGTTTGGTTGTCTAATATTCTTGGATTTGATATGAGTCACCACATCTGTTCATTAGTACCATCAACAGCATCCCAGTTTGTATGCACATTACTCACATTCCTATCTGTTGTGTTTGCAGAAATGACATTTTTACCCTTTTTTCTAAGGGTTACTTTTTGATTTTCATATTATTTGGTTGCATGAAGTTGCCCTTTACCAGTGGCTGAGGTTTATGAAGATAACCGCATACTTGAACACGGTTGAGATTCCTTTTCGAGACAGAAAAGGCGTAACTCCAAATTGCATCAGTCTAAATCAGCGTTTTTTTTAAAACCAACTAAATCTTAGAAACGAGTCCCTGCCACACGAGACTACAACAATATCTTCCACCTACAAACATAATTTCAATTTCCCTCTATCCACACTTTGTTGGTTTTTGATCAGTTTACAACATAAAAGAAAAAAATCTTGGGTTGAGGTCACCGCCAAGTTCAATAATGTAATAAAATACCTTTCCTTATTAGAAGTACCTAGCTAGTTATACTCTTAATACTTCTCAAAATCATGATGTAATGTACACTATCTGACTTAGTTCCTATATGTGGAGTTAGTGAAAGTCTTTTTGTGTTTCTTTAGATTAATACAAGGATTTTTTCCAATGCCAACACAATTTGAAATCATTCATTTGGATGCTTTCCATTTTTAAGCTTACTGTGATACAGAACCCTATGGGAAACCAAAAGAAACCATCGATTTTAAATAATGAAAGGCTTAAAAAAGGATGCTGTCACTCTGGCTTTTTTTTTTTCCTTTTGGAAATAGAACTAGACTAGTAAGTAAGCATTCCAGATCCATTATTCTGTGTACATTATTGTTGCTATTGTGATAATAGAGATTTTTATTTATTTTTATGCCAGCTTTTATTGTGAAAACATATTTAGTCTGGTTTTATCAATCCTTGTTATGCTTGTCCTTGGAACATCTTTTGCGTATTCAAGGTTTGTAGTTGACGAGTTTACTGTAAAAAACTAAAAAAAAAACCATGACAAAAAAAAAGGACAAAAAAACCCCAAAAAGAAAACAAAAAAATGTATTGTTTTTACAGAATAAATTTATTGGAATGTGTATTGGGAGTAAGGTTTGAGGTTGTAAGCAACTAAGTTAGCGTCATATTTGGCTTCATACGTGTAATAATGTGAGGTATTAATGTAAGTCAAGTATTAAAGCAAAACATTCTGTTAACATGAGTTGACCATAATAGATACAAGTGCAGGTGAGATCTTTATTTTTTCTGTACTTTGCCTTTTCTGGATAACGGGAGGTTATTAAATTCACCTTGAATGTACTCAAAGTTTCTTTAAAGACATGAGGAGTAACAGCGGAGGCTCAAATACCTGTTTGGGGGAGAGCGCGTCCTGTCGCGGCGCGGGGTTCGTTTCCTTGGGAGGATGCCCGGGGATGGAGCTATCCCGTGTGGAGGCGCACGTGGCAGGAGCCACCCCCCCGGGAGGCTGGGTGCAGGAGGAAGTCACTGCTGAGCTCCTTTTTGCCCAGCGGCGTTGGCCGAGGCGTGGGGGGGTTAGCTGGGGCCTGCCCCTTTGCCTGGAGGCACAAAGCCATGGGCTGGCTCTCCTGAGCGCTGCCGTGAGCCGCGCCGCAGGGTCCGGCGGGATGAATGGAGAGGACGAGCTCCTCACTGCTGCAAACTCCCCATGCGCGGGGCGCAACAGGCACGCGCCTGAGCCGCCGCTTCCTCGTTACCCATCAGGTTTAAAAAGACAGTGAAAATTCTCTAAACCAAAACACCCAAAAGTCAACATCCCAAAATCAAGTGTTTCCAGTCAAAACGTATCGGCTGATTTCCCCTGTGAGAAAGGTACCACTTGTAGTGTAACTACAGAGAGGCCGTAGAAATGGCTGTGGTGGCAAACAGAAGCGTCAAGTACACCAACCAAGGGCGCTACGTTTGCTGCTCCTTCCTCTGGCCCAGCAGCACGAGGAAGGAAGAACACAGCCCCAAACCTCTCCTCCCTGCAAACACGTGCTGGTTGGTCACGGGACGAGCCCTCCGTGCCCAGCTCGGAGCCGCTGGTAAGCGCATGCCTAACCCCGAGGAGCCGAGCAGTCCTCGCAGTAGGGAAGCCTTACAAGAATTAATGAAACTATACGCTGTGCTTGTCATCTGGGGAGTCTTACCCTAAGAGCTGACTGCTTCTCCAAAGGTTCCTTGGGATTTTCCCCAGGCTGACCCACAAGACGTACTCTGGGGCAATTAAACCGTGTGCACGTGACACAGTTTTCACACTTGAGAATCCTGAGCGTGGCGTGCTACGGTGGCCCTGCACAGGGGTTGCTGGCACCGATGCTCCTCAGTGCGTGGAGGCTAAGCGCTGACATCGGTGTTGTTACTGCTTAACTTCTCGCAGTTATTTCTAAAACTGTCAAAGCAGCTGACTTAAAAACAGCTCTACGGGATCTAGCGGCTCCGCTGCAGCGCAAAGTCAACATGTGGAGAAGGTGGTACTGAGGGCAGTCGTCTTTATTTTCCCTTTTTGAGTAGGATGAACAAAACAGACCGTGCAACTTTACACACCTGTGCGGTTTTACACATCTTACACGCTTCACTGGGGTCGCACTTGAGCAGTTCCGTTCCACCCCAGCCCGACGGCAGACGTAGCCAAAAAGAGGAGCGGGAAACGGTTGTGCTATTCCGTTTTTTCTTCCGGTTTTGCTTTCATAAAGAACTCGGGCTTGTGGACACACCTGTAAGCCAGGAGCTGGGGAAGAATCCCATACATGACGTTCAATACCAAAAAAAACTGTTTTGCTTCTTCGGGGACTCTGTAGATGTAAGGAGTTCGAGCGTGAAGAGAAGCACCGATATGGGAAAATTGAGCCTGTGGTGTGTATATAACATATGTATTAAAAAAAAGGGCAAAGTTGATGTATATGTTAGAAAGACAGCGTAATCTGCATGCATGTAAGCACCTCCAGTGCCATTTTCCAAGCCAACCCTTTTATTCCAGCATTATCCATCCTACTTCCGCACAGCGGTATAGAAGTGCGGTCTGAGCTAAAGTACCTTGGTGTCAGAGGAACGGTGGGGACCGTGGCAGGAGGTTTGTTTTACACGCGTGGTGGCACTGATCTTTAGGATTTCCCCCTCGGCTCCAGGCGATGGTACCTGCCCCAAGGGCCCGTGCTCCTTCCCCAGGCAAAGGGCTGCCGCAGCGGCCTCGGCCCAGCAGCGGGGCAGGACTCGCACCCGCCCGCCTGGGAATGTTGTGTTGGGTGTCCCGGGGACGCAGACGCTCGCTCCGAGTCAGAAAATACGAACTTGGCAGCTATCTTAGGGAGTGTTTTGGTTTCTTTTGAATCCTCCCCAGGCGAAGGGCTGCCGCAGCCCGCGGCACCGTGGTGTCTGCACCCCAAGCCTCGGCCCAGCAGCGGGACAGGACTCGCACCCGCCCACCTGGGAACGTTGTGGTGGGTGTCCCGGGGACACAGACACTCACTCCGAGTCAGAAAATACGAACTTGGCAGCTATCTTAGGGAGTGTTTTGGTTTCTTTTGAATCCTAACCCCAGCCCTCCAGGTTCTGCGCCCAGAACTCCTGACGGTTTCAGAAAACATCTGCGCTATGTGGCTTCTGGGCTGGGGGCGGTTCTGAAGGTTAAGTGCGCAGTGAAGGTTACGCACAACGACAGGCTTGCTGGGCCAGAGCGTATTTTTAGCATAAACAAACATTTAAAGATAGAACCGTCAGGATAGTCGCTGTCTTTTGTCTCCATCTGTTACCTGCTATTTCAAGCCATGGCTCGTTCACGTTATCGTGTGTCCCCTTTTTTTTTACTATTATTACTTAGTTGGCAGTGGAGATCTAAGAAGACAGACATCAACTTGATCTCCAGCAGAGCAGGAGAAAGGGACACCAGGATTTTAGGAAGGCAGAGGAGTACGCTATGGCCAAATCACGTCCTCTTTTCTGCCTGCAGCAGGAGCTATTTTGGACTCGCAACGGGCACAGTTCAGATCAGGGTAAGTGAAATACGGTGAGGTGTTTCACTACACCCCTCTGGCAGAGGGTTAGGCCGAGCCCATACATCAGAAGAGGAGAGGAGCTTGCTCAGGTTCCTGCTACCTTTCCTCGCCTCGGGAGCCACCTCAGCACAGGCAGGGTTGGTGCTCGGCAGCACCGGCCTCCTGTTCTGTGGGTGCAGCTTCCCAAGCAGGTAGCCAGGCTCCAGGCAGGGGGTTTGGGGCTGTCTGGTGGTTCCCGGGACACTAACGGCCTCCTGGTAGTATTTCAGAGCCTCCTCTCAGGTGAACGAGCTGCTAAGCTACACACTTCTCCATGGAGGATTGCAAGGCTGCCTGTCTCCAAGAACAGCCAGCTGCACATCACAGTAAGTTGGTAGTAAATTCATAGTAAGTCCATAGTAAGCCTTGTCAGGAAGAGCTCTAAGGGACTGTTTCTGAGAGAACCAGCGCTCCCACAGCCTTCCTGGATGCCTTCGAAGATCTAAACCTTACTGTGTGGTCTTGTCTCTGACAAGAATTGTGGCACATCAGTGAGCTGTGAGCATTGTTTAAAAAAAGAGCAGAAACATTTTGTTCTATTTGCAGTCCCTGAAGATTTTCACTACCTAATGATGCAACGTCTAGTGAAGCTACTGCTTATTAGACCTGTTCGGCAATACAACACGTTGCTTTTTCGTTTCATTATGGGGAAGGATATTTAAGTCTGTTGAAGTTGTGGTTGTTTTCAATTCGATTTGCCTCTGTGGAAATTGTGTGATGTCTTTATTCTCATGTGTTTCCTTTCCATGCCTCCACTCTGCTTCTGCTTCCCCTGCCTGGGGCAGGGTCTAAAAGCAGACCTCTCTCTCACCACCAGCCCAGTCCTGCTCTTCTTTCAAGGACCAAGCGGACTTGCACCACATTCGAGATTTTAAGCAGCGGGACAAGAGCTGCTGGGTACCGCTGGGTGCGGTCCCTGTTGTGCAGGAGGCTGGCACTGCCCTGAGCCTGTGCCTTCTCTCTAAAACCAGCTAAACTCAAAGACACTAACTGATCTTGGAGGGATGTGGAGCAGCTCTTATGAGCCTAAGGAAAGGCATCCGATAGGGAGGGCGGAGAATAACCTAGAAAAACACATTCTTGGGGTTTGGGTTCTCTTGTAGACGTCACCACTACAGCAACTAGCTGCCAGAAATTGCAGGATAAAGGAAAAAGCTTAGATGGAGAAGGAGTAGAGAAAAATCTTTCTGCATCTGAGAGTAGGGAGGGGAAGTCAGTTATGGAGAGTTGCTGAGACAGTGGCTTTGGGTAGCTGGGCTATGGCTCTTCATCCCTTTCTGTGTGGCTCCCTTGCATAGGGGAAGTGCCAATTTTATCAAGTTCACAGCGATTATTCCAACCCTTTTGTATAATCCAAGCTCAGTATTCCGTCATGTGACATTTAGAGAGCTCTTCCTGAAGCTGCAGAAAGTCCAGTAAGGACCACAGCCTGGTTTTGGAGTCTGAAGGTTAGTAACAAAGTAATTTGAGAGCTGTATGTAATTCTGAAAAGGTAAATATTTCTCTGTGTGTGTGAAAGGCTGGACATTTTCAGAAGTCCTTAGTTTAGATGCCTCACGTGTTATTTGGGCATTGTTTTTGTAGAAAGTATGAACTTTATAATGATAGGAATAAAAACTGCTAAAATCTCACATTCCCCGTCTGCAGGAGCAGTGTTCATGCCCACTGTTCCCATCATTAGATAGTCACCTGTTCTGCAAGGTGTTCCGCTAACTATTTGTTTTAATTATCAATTACACTGCTTTAACTTGAGAAAATGGTAGACGAACCTGGAAATGTGTTTTGTGCCTCAGAATGCCCAAACCCAAAAATAACAGGAGAGCCCTCGGTTCATTGTCACACACATTTTTCATGCCAGGTTGCTCACAGATCACCAGGTCAAATCAGTTAAATCACGTTCAGTTGTGGGATGACTGAAGTTCATTCTGCACTGCATTAAAGTAAAAACTATCAAAAAACCCTCCCCTAAACTTCAAACGGTTTTTGAATCAGGATAAAACGTGGGGAGTGTGCAGCAACATACAGTTCTTTTCGTTAGCCCACGGTTTTGCAGGTGCCTAGGGTGTGCTTTAAAGAGAAAAATGGGAAATGGAGAGTGAGCTTTGGGTTACCAGTAGCTTTTCCTCTCCTTGTCTGCTGGGTAAATCAGCATTATCCTGAAGCTAAACCCCAAGGGACAGCAGGGCGGGTTTTAGACTTCAGGAACAAAACATTGCATGTGTTAATCATACAGCAAAAAGGTACAATGTGCCATTAAAAAAAAAAATGGTATGGGAAACATTTGAAAGGAAAAAAGAAAAAACTATAAACCAAACACGCCAACGATCAAAACCAAACAAAAATCGCCTTCCCTTCCATCTGGGAGGCTGAGCTTTGCGCTCAGGATGCAGGATGGCGAGAGTCAGCACACTCTGCCTTCTGGTTTACTTTTCCTTGCGTTAAACCATCTTTGAAGGACCAGTTTCTTTCCTGACGGTCTGCAGAATTCATGAAACCTGAGCAGTCTATCAATAGAGAAGTTCCTGACACTGGCTTGCCTACTTCAGCTAGCTTGTGCTTTTTTTAGATTAGATTTGGGCCAAACACTGTTGTATGATATCTGTGATACATTTTGAGCATTTAAACCTCCTCATCAATATGTTTGCCTGATTCTGGTTTGATATAATTTCGCGATTCAAGATTCTCTATAAACAGTTGGGGTTTTAAAAATAAATATATTCATATTCTCTGTGGTAGTTGCTCACAAATAGAAAATAAACTGCCACTCCCCCATCCTTACTGGGCAGTAAAGCTGGATGGCAGCGTGTATCCAGGGCTGTCACATAAGGCCTGGGGAACAAAGGGTTGGTTTGTCTCTAATAGTGGTGCTTGAGTTACACTTACCGCCGTGTGCTTATGTTCTCATTATTGTTGCAGGATTATGTGCCTATTTTCTGCATTGTCTGGATGCTCAGAGGATGTTTCATTTCATACGCCCGGTACAAAGCAATTGGCACTGTCTCAACTATAAAACAGTCATCTATATGTCACAAGTTTTTTGTTTTGGCCAGTCTTCTCATAACCATCAGGCCCATCTAGTAATTAACTACAGTTGTTTATTTCAGGGAATCAGAATAGAAGAGTTAAACTGGGATCATAGGTCTGCCTTTGGCAATGCCAGCATCTTGGTGTTACTGTGGTTTGTGGCCCAGGAGGTTCTCAGTGTTACATCGACACCATCAACTGATACTGTTCATTTTGTGTGACTAGCAGATACTTCTTTCCATTTATATTTTTCAGGCTACCTAGTTGGCCAAAACGTATTACGGAAACAACGTATTTTACTGGTTTGTTGTGGTTTGGGGTTTTTTAACACAGTTGACTGTTACAGCTTTAATACAGGCTTCCTTCGTGCTCTCAGCTGAAGAGTGCACAGTGCTCAATAAGGTCTAAATAAGCCGAATAAAAAGATTCTGCAGAAGGAGAGAAGTATACTAAAGCAAACATGCAGTCGTTAGAGACATATTCTTTGATTCTCCACTGCATTAAATTAGTTTTTTATAGCTACAAAAGGTGATCTGGGTCACAGTGGCATAGAACCCACCTGGGAGGATCAAGCCCTGGGCTCCTTATTTATTCCAGAGTTCTCTACTTACTAATTTGTAATGCAAGAGTGAACATTGTACAAAGAAATACCTGAGCTAGTCCTCCAGCATGTATAAGAGTCAAATCGGGCATCCAGGAACAGCCGGGCACCAGCAGGCCATACAGAGCAACCACATAGTATGGCACGGAGTAGAACATGTATGCCAGCATCTGCGTTTTAAACAGAAACATTAGTTGCTTCCCAGTGTGAGGGAGACGCGTGTCAGAATTAGCCAGCTGCTGACTGAGGAGCTGAGACTATGGAAAACACACTCCTCGCAGCAAAGATTCCCAGGCCTTTTTGCCACTCTAAGGTATGTGAGGCAAGATTTTTGCACCTAGATGCTGTTGACTGGATCCACCTACCCTAAGGCCTCCACCAATACTGACAGCTTTGGCCCGCACAGATCCTCTTCATCTCAGGACGTGTATTCCTGCCCCTCGACGCCTCGAGACCAGCGTGGTGTGAACTACTCAGTGCCCCACACAGCGCGGGTGTCCACTTCTCAAGCTCCGCTGCATTTTCAGGTGTGGGGAGTGTGAGATCGACCCAAGCCACCCCTTTCCCAGAAAGAACAGGTCCAGCAGAGATTTTTCGTTGCTACTATACCCCTTTTTTGCTCCATTGTTACAGATGGAAAATCTACTTGGCCCTTCTAAGGAAGGGGAATGAGCATAAAAAGCATGCAGATCTGTTTCACGGACTGTATTATGAGAAGCCTGAGCAATTAAGATGTGTAACTCTAGGTAACTGCTCTCAGTCTCAGTTAAGTTTGTCACAACGAAGAGTCGGTACTGTGTAATGGCTGTAGTAGAAAATAGGAGATACCATTTCACTTGCCGTGGACAAATACTTCCCTTGTCGATCTTGTCATGTGTGAAACCCGTGGCCTCATCTTTGTGCCAGTTAACAAATCAATTCTTAACACTCTATGCTCCACAGTCAATGCTTTACCTGAAGCTTAGGATAGGCAGCAGGATCTTTTATATAAGGCTCGTGAAGTTGGATATATAGCCGGCAGAGTTAAGCAGGGCAATCCAGAGCAATCTAGGAAGAATTTTTAAAACTTCCTGTGAACAACGTATTTGTTCTAAAACCTGACACCTGTTACCAGCCCAAAAGATTCTCTAGTGACCTGCAGCACTGCTACCCCGGGGGCTTGCTCAAAATCTGTTGCTGAGGTGATCCATTTGATCGACAATTAAAAAGCTGAAATGCAGCCTCCTCTCAGCTCCTGCTCCGAGGGTTTGCGAGGAAATGCTGACTTTAAGCCTGCTTTAAAGATTCTGACTGGAAGAGAATTCAGTCAGTTGGCTGTGCTGTAGTAAAAGTGTAATTGCTATCGATTTACTCTGACAAACAGACTTTGATCCCAGCAAATGAACTTTCCAATGGAAAAGCGCTCAAGCAGTGGAAACTTCAGTTTAAACACCCAATTTTAGGCTAGCAGGCTATGGATGTAGTCCAAGGAAAGAGTTGCATTGTGGCAAGGCAACAGTGGAGAGCAATGCAGAGACAGGTGTTACTTAAAAAATAATAATTTTTAAAAGAGAGTAGCAAAGGGGAGATTATTGTATTTTACATTTCTGTAGAACAAACAAAGCTCCCAATAATGGAGAGACACAGTTGCAAAAGTAGTTGCTTTTCATAGTAGCCCTTAAAACTGCTACCAAAAAATACTGTTCTAAAATGAGTTAGCAACCCGTGCCAAGAGCTGTAGGTGTTTCATGGCAAGGTGGTGTTAATGTCTGACTTACAGAACGGAAAAACTTCTGTGCAACTTAATTCCATGTGTATTTGTTGTGTGACTTTGAGGGGGAAGTGCCAAGATTTACAAACAGTGGCTACTCCTCCCTGTCCTTCCCAACATGGATATCTAGTAGGGAGGTGTGGGTGGGCTACAGTGGATTACATTTTATTAGCTTTTTCACAAAATCATGGTTACTGCAGCTTACACAGAGTTGATCTCTGTATGTATACGTAGGGCCAGTGGGTGGTTCCTGTTTGTTAAACAAAATACATAAGGAAATGACCACACTCGCAGAATCGACAAAAAACTCCTCTGAGAAATGAGGAAGTGGAATTGCAGAACCAAGTTAGATGCTGGGGCACGCGATTAACATCTCCCACAGCGAAACTGCAGGTCAAACAGCTGATTAACCTGCATCAGTGGTACGCTGAAGTAGCACCTTCCATATGAAATGGAGCGGTCTGTGACAAGTCAGAAGAAAAAAAGAACATTTTCAGAGAAACAGCAGAAGGTGACAGAGTAATGTGAGGAGCGGGACTACAAAGGTCAATCTGTGCTACGTAAATAAAACGTTGCTTGGGTACTTATTGTCACCTCTTACTGTTCTAGACAGGATCTACAAATCAAGCACGCAGGCCAAGACACCTAAACATTTGAGCTCTGTTCACTGAGTGATACACAACACCCCTTCTGCTTAGACCAGAAAACACTTCAGAGCTGACAAAGGCCTAGATTTGCCTACTAATGGATTTATCTACTTCAGTTGTTTTCAGGACTGATTAATTCCCTCAGAAATTTTAATTCAATCAACTGTGCTTAAAAAGCAAACTTTCTTTTAAAATCAGCTCTTGGTAAGTAGAAACAACATATGATGTGCAGGTAACGTGGATAAATCTTGTTGGTTTTTTTTTTCCAGGTGGAGATGTTCTCCTCTGTCTCATGCTGTGTAAATTAACTAGGCTTCCTATTTAATTTTAACTATGCATCTCTGATTAGATAAACATGAATACAGATTTAACTTAGTTGGTTTGTCTCCATGTTCTAGTCCTAAATGTAACACCAGACCGATGAAAACAGTTTTAGGTCACCTTGATCTGCACTTGGGATGTTACTTAGATTGTGCACCTACTTTCTTTTGAAAAACATACTTTACACAGGGCAAAAGCAGAGAAGCAAAGCACCATTAATTATCATAAATGACCAAACTGTCCTGTATATATCTAAGGCCTATTCCAACCCTGAAAGTCAGAGGATTTCCCTTAACCAAGATGTACGTACTTTTTCACACAGACACAATGATTTCAAATTTCACTGAAAATTAGAGGCCAGAATATTAAATTATTTTCAACTTACCATGCCCCTAAATATGCAAAACCCCGTTGCGAGAATGAGGTATGCAGCTAACATTAAATCTATTGGTCGTCTTAAGAGTCCTTTCTTCTGGACTTCCTGAACCACCTGCAACACAGAACGTGTTTAGTAAGTGTAGCCCGGTTGCACACGACAGGTATTTAACTCCCGATCAGTCACTGCAAGAAGGGTGAAGTGGTGAAACACTGATAGAAGCAGTGAGCTCTCGGTTACGTTACCCTATTTAACTGCTGATTTCGGAGACAGAAAGGTTTGCCCATCTAAAAAGGTGACTTCAGACTTTATAGGATGCAGTCAGGAAAATTAATCTGAATAAACTCTAGGAATGGATGGATCCAACTCAATCTGTTTCAGTACAGATTAGCTTACATTTAAAGCAACGTAAATCAGACAGACACTAACTCTGAAATCACATAAGGCTTGGAAGCAGCATAACTAACTTCTTCAAAGTTGTTTCTTTTGTTAATTGGAATGAATTCAATTTCCCAAATGTCCCTACGTAGAAAAGCTTCGGAGGCGTAGGTTTGTGTCAAACGTTTGGAGTTGAATCTAATACACTTTGTAAAAGGACTGCTTGGAGGGAGAGCAGAAGGAAGGTCCGTCTCACTACTGACAGTGAACGCTGGTTTTCAGCATCCTGTGGCACTACCGAAATTAATGGAGTATCGCTGGCATAAAATAAACGCTTTTCTGTGGCCAGCTGAGTTTTCTGCTGTGTTCAATGAGCAAATAATATATTTGTTCATTTGTTCTGGCCTCAGAACAGGAATCCTCGCTGTGAGGGGTTCACACTTATGGGTAGCAAAGGCCAGATAGCATGGAAGATGGCTTGGAGGAACCAAAGGCACCTCTCTGCCTACACGGTAAAACTCACAAGAACGTTGGAAATAGTTTGAGGTACACTTTCAGCACTCTGCAGTCACAGACACAATTATAAGCACATTATAACTACATCTTTCTGTAGTTCCGAGAAAAAACTTCCCCGCTTGTATGTGTTACTCATTTCCTCTTCCTTTTTATTAGCTGTGTGTTGGCATGCAGACAGCAAAAGAAAAACCTGTTTTCCTTCCTGTTACACGCTTGTGGAATGGTCTCTGAAGCAGAAAACAATAATTAGGATGCAGAGGCACAGCTTAAAGCACTCAGGATCAAGATATTCACAGTAAAGTTACTTGTGAATAAAGTTATTTGTAAAGGAGAACTGATCCTGCAAGCACAATTCCCAAGCAAGAACTGCAATATCTGAGTTGCAGTTGAATGAAAATAAGGCTATTTTAAACACAAAGGCCATCCCTTTCATAAAACAATTTCTTTTTTTCTTTTAAAGGATCATTTTCAGAGAAAAAGTGTGACAACTTTGTTTTTCAAACACAAACAACAGGTCTGTTGTGGCAATAGGTGTCACTTTACGGTATTTAAAGTACTAGTGTAGCGATGTTTCTAATACTGCCTGCAAAGAATATGTATATTCTAATTTTTATTCCTATGAAAGACAAAGGCCTCCCGTGGCTGCTGAGTTGCAAGTCATTTTCCAATGTAGCCTACCTAAGGATAATGGAAAATTTGGGGGTGGACACATTTTATTTCCACTTTTGTCTAAGTATGAAGCTCGTATGTATGTATCACTCCTCACTTCAGAAGGTCTGTTCAGTGAGCGTGCACATTTACTGGGATCACAAAGCTACAGTAGAACTTTGTGCTAAGAGGTTTTGGAGACCAAGCCAGTATTAGTGGAAACAATATTTGGTGCAGCACAAGTCTGTGAAATTGCCAAGGCACAGAAAACCCACACCCTTTTTTCTCTATGCACAGTTACTATGCAAACTAAATGAAAATGCAAAGCTTAAAAAAGCAGAAGGAAGAATTTGAAAGGCGGTGGGCATCTGCTGACAGACCTCAGCCACGTGGTCATTCTGCCTGGCCCTTCTCTCAGCCCCGCAGTCACATCAATGCACGCTGAAACGCGTAAGGTGCTAAGAGCACTGGCTGAGTAGAGGTGACCCTTTATCACAAACAACTCTGCGTGGATCCCGCCTGCCCTGCCGTTTCTTTTGTGTAGCAAGGAAGCGTGTAGGCATGCTTTGCCATTTTTCTCACTTCCAGGAAAAAGCTATTTTCCATAACTTCTGAGAGGCTCCTCACATGAGCTGTTTTAAGGAATCGGGATAATCTACGTGCTGTCCCTGGAAGTCAGTCCCTTCAGAACTCCTCTGAATTTATGTGTATTGATTCTGTTAAAGGATTTTAAATTACATTAACCTTTTCTGAGGTAATATGCTCATAGTTAAATCTGCTCGTGTTGGAAAGACTGCAGCACAGCTTGGCTGGATTCTAAATGAGGGCATAACTCCAATCCTCTCCCATGCACCCACCGCTATTAGAGAACACCCAAAACTCGATTACCTCTTCTCTGTCCCCACAGTCATTCATTTTTTTTGAAGTAATGGGTTTATAATAACATTATAGGAGTTAATACCTTGGCCAACAGAATACTCCTTGCTTCCGTTGCTTTCATGTAAGTATTTTTCTACATACTTGCACCGTCATCTTTAAAAGCATGATTACATTTTTTCTTAAATCTCTTCACACCGATTCTGAATAATGATAAGCTAAATAAAAGTTCATTTTTACAGCTAATTGCAAATGATCTACTGAAAGAGAACTAAATATTTTCAGGACTTAGATTAGCTAACCGATTAGTAGCATTACACACAATTATTTCCCGGAAAATACTTAATTTAGGACAGAGTTGTATAAAAAGTATGAAAAAATTATGAGTAGTGGTGATTTAAAGGCACTTTAAGGTGTATGGTTATTGAAACCAAGTATTTATGCTCGGATGTGGAGCATGAATTAGCTGTGAAGACAAGATACCACTTGAAAATAGAAAGCACTTAGGAAGGGTAGGAGGCCCCACTGAAAGCAATCAAGGCTTTTTCTATCACCTTCTGAGCAAGGAAGTTTAGGCTTACAGGAAAGGATTCACTAGGAAGTGCAATGGTAAATTTTCAGATCACCAGCTTTTTATGCACTCTCTTTTTGAAATAGAATTTAAAAATTAAGGCTCTGCAATATATACCAAATAAAACACCAAACCTAGGTAAGCCGTTTAGCTCCTGATATTCATAGGGGTCATGGCAATATTTCAGCAAATAAGCAGTCCATCACATAATTTTTTCTATAATAGCAGTCTCTGCGGTGTTCTCAGGACTAGGAAAACAAAACTAAAACCTTCATCTACCCCCCCATGCAAAGGATGTTCTCAGTAATATATACAGCAAAAGTCACCATCGCTACCTTTAACGGCACTTCTCTGCCCTGTTGACTCTAAAGAACGTGTTTCTGGCCAGAATTAGTGATGCCTTTAAGTAAATCAGTTCAAATTGCTTTGGGATGAGACAAGGTTTCCTATGAGCCTATGCAGGAGGGTAGAAGAGGATTTGGCACCCGAAGTCTCCCCCAGCTTGCTTTTCATAGGGATTTGCCCTAAAAGTGGTGATTCTGTAGTGGTTCTTCAAGCTTCAGGACGCACAAACATCTGTCTATATCCCTCTTTCCTACTGAAGAATCCTGGATGGCTTGCTGAATATTTTCTTTCATATATTTCTGGGAAAATCTGTCTTCTCTTTTTTTTTTTTTTTTTTAGTAAAACAGTGCATAAACTATTATTGCAATTTTTGATTGCTCAGTTAATCATATTGCAGCCCAACTATTAAATTCAAAGGTGAAAGTCTAAGGAGTTTTAAGTAAACGGCATCTCTACAGATTTTTTTTTAGTAAGAGGTGTGTAAATAATTTTCATATCAATTAATGTACAGCATCTTACCTGTAAAATCTAATATTGCAGAATGCACATACCAAATAATCATTAAATTACTTGTAATCTGTAATCTGCAGAAGAATACTTTCACTGCAGTGGATTTTGTGGTGCTTTAGGAAGCTGATATGTGTCAGTATTTTCATCAGCTAAGAATGCGAAACAGTCAGAAACTGCATAGGTAGAGAGTAGTAACACAATTACACCTAGAAATGGGTCCTTTACTCCAAACATGAGATTCTTTTGCTTTTCCTTTATCCCACCACAATGAAATGGTCCTGCGGTACAGATATTTTTACAGTGCCTACACAGCCTGGCAGCAATTGTCATAACATCGAGCAGTTACGGTACATTCCATGCTCACCGAGGAACCTATAAAACCCAGTCGGAACAGCAAGCATATTCAGTTTTCCTAACAGTAGCCAACACATACGTACAACAACACTACCTTGGCTGGAGTCTCGTGAGTTACTGAAGGTTGGTTATAAATTCGGAACCCAGCCCATATGGGAAGGCAAATATATGGCACACTTAAGAACAAAGCAGGACACACTTTTGTTCCATATTTGCCTGTTAAAAAATAGAAGAATTCGTAAGCTGTGTGGCAGAAGAGTTAAAAAATACCGTATGTAATATCAAACCTGAAGCAGCTATGGTAATGTAAATATAAAACATCAGAAATTTCTATGAAAGCAACACAAACCTCATTGAAAATCATGTGCTCAGTAGTGTTAGAGTCACAGGTGACAGAGAGACCATCAGATGGGAAGGTGTTTCAGAAATCAGGGGGGTTTTGAGGGGACAGGAAACCACCTCTGTCACTCTGCACTAGGTAATTCTAGGAGCTTTGAAATCTCCTACTGGAACCTGCTTCAAGTAGAGACATCGTTCTTTAAAAAATGGGAAAAAAACCGAGTGTATCCATTTTTTAAGATCTGATATTGCATCTGTTTTCTGAAGTCCTGATGTCTCTTACAGGCCTGTACTAATATCTGAAGACAAAACATAAATTCAGAGAGCTCTCCTCAGCCCAGATAAATCGGGAAAAACTGTGACTTTTATACTGGCTACTCTGTGTCAGACAGGAAATCAGAAAACATGTTCCTGAGAACAAGTTTCTTGGCCTTTCCTAGAGGGAAGAGAGAATTGTCGCATTAAATCTGCTGACTGTTCTCTCTGTGGGGCGTGTGTATCTACTAAGGAGGGAACTGGACTGGCCCCAGGCTGCACCATGAATATTCCTCCTCTGTCATAAAAAGTGGGGCCACAGCAAGCTTTTTGAAAGCTGCCTGCAGGATCTGGACACATGAACATTTTTTTCAGTTGAACACTTGTCAACTTTGCATCAATTTAAGCGTTGCTAAAAAAGAAATCTTTACTTTAGAGGGGCAGCACTCTTAAAGAACCACTCGTCCGTAACCATGATGTAAACTTTCTATTAAAATTTCAAGCTCTAGCAGCACAGCTAGGCGCTGTTTACATTAAAATCTAGGAATGTTATTCCACATTGCACTTTTAACGGAGATTTGGATGCCACTTGTAAGCTGCTTGAAAGTCAGGCTATTAAGTAAACTGTAAATTTTATGCAAAATAAGATTTGTATTTTTTTATTATATTAAGAGACAGTTATTGTCTCATTGCTTTAATTAAACCTGGTTTAGATGAAAGCCTTAAGGCTATAACAAAACACAATACTACTTTTTTTTCTTGAGGATAATGTAAATTGAAAGTTGGTGGGTTTTTTTATCCTGGTCTCCATCTTCTCCTCTTCATATTTAAATTTTGAAATATACTGCATCTCTTTACTGAAATTCCTAAAATTTCTCTTTCATATTATTACAGAAAAGAACCCATACTGCAGTGAAATACAGATAGTCAAGTGCTGAGTTTAGAAAACGTTTCACAGGAAAAAGTTAGTCATAGAAACAGTGTCCTTACCCACAATGTTTCCAGGCATAAAGACAATGATGCTCATGATAATAGAACCTAGCCAGTAGAGGCCAATGGTTCTGTAACTTTGTCTGTTTAAAAAAGAAAACAAGATGTAATTATTGCACGACCCCTAAAAATCCACGACCCCAAGTCACCCCCAAGTACTAGACTGATTGCCATGGCTGTATCTTCGTAAAGGTTTTAAAATCCATACCACAAGTCAACAGTGGATTCTTGCCTCTGAGAGGGGGACATGGAGAAATCCTACGTTCATGTGAGAAGGTTATCACGTGGACAGTACAGGATTTGTGCATACTCGGTTATTAGCTGTTACGTTTCACTCGTGTGAATGCTGACTGCACGATTTTGCACATCACGGGTTGTACAAGACTATATATGAATTAATAATTAATTTTGTTCTGTTACTGCTTCTATTACCAGCACGTAAGGTTAGCCTCTGGAATTTAAGTACTTATAACAGCAAGAAACATAATAACCTCTACAAATAACCATTTGCTCTTAAGCTGCCTGATACTCTCGAACATGGATGAGAGATCATCATCATGCTAAGCAATACGTTATTCCTATCATAAATACATTATTTGGGAAACGAAAGGTTTTTCACACAGGGTTTTAACATGCATCATCTTTAAGCTTTCCTTTTAACTAACAGAAAGCATTCTGAGCACTCTGCTGTAGAGTGAAGACGACAAATTACAAGTAAATGCATTTGCTGGGCTTATTCACCTGAGAGAAAGGGTAAACTGGTGAGGGTACAATTCCTAAAAGTAATGGAACCTTAATAGCGTTGCTTTGGCCTAAGACATGAAACAGTCCTGAAAGAAAAACCTGAATACTGCGTAGAAAAGGCGGCCTTTGTAGGTTATATGAGAACGCAAGCAAAGTCAACAGCACACAAATCAAAGTGACTTACTCCCATGCAATAGCTGCCACCATCAACAGATACATCAGATAATGAACGGAGCCATCCCAATAGCAGATCACATGGCCATATGCTGTGTTCAGGTACGGTTCACCCTAGGGAACGTTTATTTTTAAAAAGATACAGTGACTAGAGGAAGAATAACAAATAATCAATTAATAAAGAAGAGCAGGAAACAATTGCAGAGAAGTAAGTGATGCTCGTTCAATCCAGGAGTACAGTTTCTGACTGACAATACACATTTCCAAGCACAAACCTGATTTAGGTAGAATCAGGTATAATTAAATCTGTTCTATACTTCCAAAATAGGGTGCAAGATGGAAGGGAAAACTCCTGTGCATGACTCTCAGAGTGGTTCTGCTACATTGTGGACACGTTACTTCTCCATATTTTGGCGATAAAAGCTACAAAATAAAGATGCTTTTAACATGGAACAAATAAGGATATATGTAGCAACCTAGAGATCTTCAAGAGTAGTGAACACATTGATGGCAACCTATAACCTTCTAAGGTCCAGCTCATTTCACACTAAAACTCATGGAATCTTTTCAACGACTTCAATGACTTTCATATTGAGCTCTTAGTGCGCTATTTTTGGTGGATGTTGATATTCAGCAGCCAACAGATTCTGCTGACGAGGTATCTGGCATCATCATTTTTTCACTCCTTTTAGTAAAGTGATTAGGCAAAAAAAGAGGAGCAATTTTGTTTCCTTCTCAGTAACACGTTTAGGTACTGCAGCACCCGTCCACTCCCGAGTGCCGAGCACGCACGCAGCCAGTTCAATTCCCGCAGCAGTTAACACAGAGCAGAGTTACTTAAACGAACTGAACTGACACTGGAGCTGGAAAGAAAGGTGTGCTGTTTTTCCCAAATATCAGTGATTTCAAGGCAGTGAAGGCTTTGTCCATAAAAATAATGAAACAGCTATTTTTTCTGTGACAACTACTATACAGTTATTTATAGCAAAAATTTGATTTACATTTGTAAACCAAACAATTGTTTACCTCTCTCAAGTAATGAGTCATGAATCCATCAATAATTCCATCCTGTTCCAGTCCAATTATTAGATTTACTACACTGGTAAAGGCAAATACAGCGTAAACTGTAATAAGATAAAGGGAAAAAAATAAATTAATAACGATTTGGAATCACACAGTTGCTTCACAGTCCGATAAACTCAGTCAGGCAGAGATCTACTGAACTAGAAGCATCTACTCCCAGGTCACAGATATTTTAACATACAATATGACTTAGTATTTTTTAACTTAGTCAACAAAGTTCTGAGGAAGCTTTACTTAGGAACATGAAATTCCATAGAGCTGTAGGCACAGCCAGTGTCTGCAGAAAGGACTATGCAGCCTTTCAAAAATCTTGGTCAGATGAAGTATACAACCTTGGCCGCGGCCGTCTCTTGGAGAAAGGACAACAAAAAGGAGGCTGAGAGGGAAACCTGACTTGCCATTTTTAGAAGTGAGCAAGGCAAACTGCGTTAGCCAGGGCAGTCCATAGGAGGCTGTCTGGCAAATCACCCCTTTGAGGCAGGAAATTTACTTGCTGTAGGTTTATGTTAGTTATTTCCTTTGACTTCAGTGTGAACTGAGAGTTCCCAGCCTCCCGCCGAACACTGGGGACGGACGCCTACGAGCTGTAATGAGGACGGCGGTTTGCACACTGCTTTGCCTGTGGGCACATCTTGTAAAACTTCAACTAACAGCAGTGGCTTTTCTTCTAGATTTTTGCTATACGGCAACCTAGATCTAAGGTTTCCTTTTAAAAGGCGATCACTACCTCTAATCTTTCATGGCAAAGTATCAATATAGAAATGTTTGCCCCAGTCTGCAGACAGCCCAAGACAGGAGTTGGGGTGGGTTGAACTTTCTTATATGTAACAAAGGTGAGTTAACACAGAATAATAATAACAGGAGAATTTTGGAATTCACTCATAGGAAGAACCAAGCCTTGGAGGTCTAAAAGTTTCAAAAATCCCCAACGAATCCACTTGGGATGAGACACGCCATGAGGGTTACTGTGGTCTTGCTACCAAGAGGATCTTAACAGGGCAGGTGTGACGGTATTTCAAACACTTCCACAGCCCAAGTCAAGTGTTATTCCTTTCAGATACGAGGTCTGGTGTGTCCCTAAGCTGGATCTCCTATTTGAGAAGGATAAAAAAGTTCAAAAGAAGCATTATTCCTTCTCCTTTTTCCCCAGTCTGTCTTTCTTGGCTTCTTAGCACCTCACCAGACTGGGTTCTGAAGCCATGCCTTAAATGCTCAACCTGAAATAACCACCGCATATTACCATTTATATGAATTAACACTTTTTGAATTTTGCTTCATTGTTACCAAGACATACCATAAAACAGCGGGTCTTTTGGTGGTTTTCTTTTGACAAGAACACGAGCCAACAGAGCAATAAAAACCAGAACCAGCAATCCAACTGCAACAATTGCCCAGGAACTGTAACAATATTAAAAAGAAAAATAATTTAAAAGAAAGACAGAAAAAGAGACAGAATTTTGCTTCTTCAGCTTTTCTTACCAGCTATCCTCAAATGCACATACTCTTAAAGTAACTTTTAATACTTTAAAAGGCTGTTTTTGAAGTCCATCGCATAGTCTGCCCTGGTATTCATTTTATAGTTTTGCAGAATTTATGTGCCTGTCTTTTCACATGTGATCATCTAAAAAAAGAAAATACGAAAATAGCTAGATAAACAACGTATCCAGGAGTCTAGATCTGTCCGACTAAAATCAGTTTTCATACTGGTATCTGCAAAAATAAACAAAAATGATGGAAAACTTAAAGGCCAACCAGAGGTGAAAGTCACAAACGCAGGGATTTCATGGCCCAAAAGGGGGGACTTAGTCAAACCTCAGCAATAAATTATCTACTCAGGAAATTACATATCTGCAAATAAAACACATCAGTTCCATGGAATAGGAGTAGCAGTGTGGAATGCCTGTGACAGATCTAGGTTTAAATTTCCAGTTTTGGAAGTGCTACCAAAGGTCTCTCTGGCCCTACAAGGCAGGGACGCTTGGGGGGATTCCGTAATCAGCGCGGGTGGGCTTGGCCAAAAGGACCTTATCTCTGAGACGGGGCTATAATGGTAGTGTATGTAAGGGGAGGAGGGGGACACACACACAAAAATCGTTGGCACAAAGCACATTTGTCTCCTTCCCCAAGAAAACACAAGTTAAGAAAATCAATTTAAAATTGGTTTACAGCTCTAAGTGCGTAAATCGTATTGAGTTCTCTTTAAGACAGACTGTCATTCTCAGACTTGACTTTTTTGTGCTTGTGTACAGGGAAAAAAAGGCGGAGAAAGTTAAGTCCAGAACCATAAGCTAAAAATATTTGGGGCATGATTTTATACATAACATCACGTTGTGCGGCATGAAAACAAATTGTGTACAAACAAATAAGACTATGACAATTTCAGCCTTAGTGAAACTTGAAATAGTTGCAAAAAAATCACCGGATCAATTATTTCAGAGTATATACACACAGGCTTTCTGAGTCAGGATGAGCAGTACTAGCTTGTTGATTTATTTTATGGTTAGTCTGTTTTCCCAGTAATGACTTTCATCATGCCATTACAGCTGTTAATATTGCAGTGACTTTTCACTGCGGGTCTATCAATTTGAAATAAATATTGGCAACAACTCAAGTAAGTCAGCATGTGTTATTCGGCGTTTCTCTCGCAGGAGGAAAGGAAAAAAATAAGTTACTGGCCAGAAGGAAGAAAATGAGGAAGGAACAGATGTAGCAAAGCCTTAAAATCATGCACAAAATATTTGTGCGGTAAAGTTGCAAAACCCGACAGGCTGTGAGATCACAAAATACCATTCGGATCTTTACGTCTATTGGGTTTTCCATGAGAAAAGACCTTGCTTTTCTAGACCTGTGGTCTAGACCCTACTTTTTGCCAGGGCGAGGACGTATGGTCACTTGCCGTTACACTCGCACCTCTCACGGGGTGCCCGCAGCTCGGGCGCTCTTGCGTTCGTTTTCAAACAGACGGGGATTTTGTCGGCGAATGCCTCGGCCGGGGAGCCGGAGG